CAGACATGGGTTGCAAGTTAAAGACCCAGTATTAGGACATATGTAGCAATATTGTTATTGCACGTCTGTTATGCATTATAGAAGAAAGAATGTGCTGTTGAAGCTTCACTAGTATATGTGGCATTTATGGTATGTTGCTAATTTTTAATCCGTGGAGAGTTGAGATGACGACAGCTACATCTGCGTTTATGAATATAAAGCATCAACAATGTAGAGTAAAATTGTATTGTTGCAAGTCATTATCACACTAGCTCATTATTGGTCAGTGACTTGAACACAAGTGTTTGCAAGCAAGAGTGAAAGGATTAGAATCAGAATTCATGGTGTTATCTAATTCTTTTTTATGAAAGGTAAAATCGTGACAGTCATAAATCCATGAAAGGATATTGGGTGACTAAAGCCTTTCGTATGAAACTGTTAGACGTGTCAATGAATTTAAAGCGAGACAGGACAAGCATCGAAGACTCACTATGGTCTGGGGCTCCAAAAACCCCATCTGTGACCCCAGGAAACATTGACAGAATACAAAATTTTGTTTTGGCAGACAGGTGAGTGAAAGTGCATTAGTTAGCAGAAGCTGCATGCATTCAAAGTGACCAAATTCGTTTTATTTTGCATCATATGAATTGAGCCTGAAGTTTTGCACTAGACGGGTGCCACGATTACTGACTGCAGAGATGAAATGAATATGCATGAGAGCATCTGCTGAGTGTTTGTAGGTACTCAACAAAAAGCTAGTGAATATCTTGCATCATTTTGTTACCTTACAAAACTTGGATTCACCATTACATTCCAGGAAAAATGCAATAGTCAATAAATGGATTGCAAAAGAACCAGCTCCAAAAAAAAGGTGAAATGCAATCCATCAGTAGGTAAGGTGATGAAAGTCTTTTAGGATGCTAAAGGTATTCTTTTTATATACTACCTTGAAAAAGGAAAAAACATCCCTGGAAAATACTGTGCACCCCTTCTGGGCAGATTCAAGGCAGCTATCACAGATAGATGTCTTGGAATGGCAAGAAAAAATGTTGTTCTATCCCAATAATGCACTAACACATTTACGTCATTTTGCTTAGCAAAAATTCACTGAACTTCAGTTTCAACTGCTTCCACATCTTCCCTATTCACCTGATTTGGCCCCCCACAGTCTTTCATTTGTTTACAAAATTAAAAACTTTCGTGGCTAAAAAAAATTTGTGAGCAATGAAGAAACCATCCAGACAGTCATTGACTATTTCGAGGGTCTTAAAAAGACTTTAGAGAAGGAATCTTAAACCTGGAGAAATGTTGGGTCAAGTGCATTGAACTTGGGATTATGTCGAAAAAATAAGGTTATAAGGTAAATTACAGAACTCAGATTGTTGTCTTTCATATCAAACCAAATTGCTTATCGAACGACCCTCATACATATAATGGGTCACACGAATAGAACCAGATGTTGGCTAAATCAGTCCAATCAGAGAAATTGTAAGGCCTTATGCAATTGTTTATTTCAGATGTGAGTGATAGTAGTGATATTCCTCATTTTGAATAAAAGCTCAAAATCCCTAAATCCTCATTGTTTGTTGTTGTTTGTGATGCTGTTTTCTTTATTCTGTGCTTGCCTTCATTTTCTAGCTTCTGTAAGTAGGGACTTGAATCATTCCATTTTGTCTCCTCCTTGGTGTTGTATCAGACATCTCAAGATTTATTCTTAGATAAAGTGTTGTTGTTGGGAGTGTTTGTTGAGACTTTCTTCATTCTTAATTCATGATTTGCCAACCTGTGCGTGGTTAAAAAGTGTCATGAGTCAAAGACATGAGAAATATCTACAAAGAAGAGATGCATCGATTAATTTGCTTGCAAAATTCTTTCTGAATGTTGGGTGGTTATTATTTTGTATGTTGTTCATTTCTGTTCTGATACCATTTTATGGTCCCTTTTAATTCATGCATTCGCTTAAAATCAATTTTTCAGAATCACTTATGGGCGAGTTTTTCTTGAACTCGCCATTTTTCAAGGAGGGAGAATAAGATTTCAAGTTGCAAAGTAAAGTCAAGGAATTTTGGAAAATTTAGGAAATTTGGTAGGTCCTGAAAAAGTCTGAGAATCATAAGGTAGATTCAGCTTTTGAAGTTTTTTCGAGGTGCTATTACTAATAGAAAATATAACATGAAAGCAGAAATGAAACTGCAGATCTTGTTCTGGATATTTGTATTATCCAACTAGGTAGTCTTCAGCCCATCGGATTTTACCTGGTACTTTTGTAAATAAGAGCAAAACACTTTATCCTTGTATTATGTACCTGTTAAGTCCCCCCCCTTTTTTTTTTTTTTTTTTCCTCCCTTCAGATCTTTTCAAAAATATTGATTGAGGAGCATCAAATATATGAAAATAACATGTTTTTGTAGATAATTTGAACATATAATTTTCCTGGACTTGTCCCTGGATTAGGATGCTGTGACATAATGATAAAGTGTATGAGCACCTGAGAAGAGGATAGTAAAGAGCATACTATTTATTATGGGCTTACTCATTTAACTTTATTTATTATTTGGTATGGAAGGGGAGAAGGCAAGTACTGCCCAAAGTTATATTAAATTTTGAGCAGAATGCCTTTGAATTGTTTTTGCCAGTGAAGGCGCACCACCTTTTTGTTGGACTCTTGAAGCATCATTTTGAATCGATCTCTAATGGCTGGATAATACAGGGGTATGTTCAAAATAATCTTCTCCCTTTCCCTGGTGACTGTCACTGCCCATCTAAAGTCAAAAATATTAAGTCTTTACCATTAACAATTCTTTAAGAAACCCACGAATTTACAAGGGTCATTGAGATCATTTTAGTAAAAATGATCCTGTAACATTTCTTAGCTCTTGCATCCCTAGCATGTTTTGCTACTGGCAAATCGTGTCGATCAACGCCTCTCATTTGCGTGTTGTACACTTTCTGCTCAGCAGGTTGTGGAACTTCAACTTTTTCCTGCAAGTGTCTATTCCATCTGGACACCATAATCATAAGTTAAATGAAGCTTCAAATTAACTTCTCCCCATTGCACGTCACACACAGTTTTTAACTGTTTTTGATGTAAATAAATTTTCAAAAAGTTCAGTAACATCACAATTTGATCCAGTGATGACACCCTTTGCTATTGTTCCATTGTACTAACAATAATTCACCATTGCAGATAAATCTTTAAACAAAGCTATTATATTATTTTTTCTTTCTTGTATTCATTCACTTATGCCAGTTGGCTTTTTACTTTTAAAGTTTCTCAATATAATGTAATACATATAAGAGGCTTAGCATGTATGGAAGTATACAGGTGTCCAGGGAGGAAATGTCTTCGGAAATAAGCTCTTAAGTTAATTTTAAGCATATATGTCTAATCAACTACTTGGATATTCCAAATGGCTGAGCCGCTATAAGCACTCAAAAGTTGGTTTGAAAAAATGCTTCCATTGAATTATGACAATTGGGTGCTTTTTTTATTTCTGTGTTAATTTTTCTTTTTGAACAAATATATTAATTTATTTTGTAAATAATAAAAAATTTACAAGTTTCTGGAGTGCTTCTATGCTTCCGCAGTACACATTTTTGCTCAGGAAGTGTATTTTCAATCCAACTTTTGAGTTCTTATTCTGGCTCAACGATTAGGAATATCCCAATAGTATATGCTTAAAATTGTCTTAAGAGCTTATTTGTGAAGTTTCAATGTTTCCTCCCTGGGCATCCTGTGTAATTGACATAAGGAGAACTGTGTGCAAAAAATAAATTTAATTTCACAGTCTTTGTCATAAAAACATTATATCACATAAGTTAATTAAGTCATTTACTAGTGATAATAATATATAATGTAATTTGTATCTGAAATTTTATATTATATAAAGTTTTATGTCAGTAAGCTTAAATAACTCCTAAAACTGCTTTTTTGCACTAAGGTTTACTCTTACAAACATGAATATAACAGTTCAATGAACAAATCACTGAAGTGATGTGATTTTTGCAGCTGCCTCATAGTACGAAACACAAATCCAACATAAATAATTAATGGATATTGTTACTTCCCTATGCTCTATTTCTTTTTTGTAATATATGAAGTGAAAATAATAATAATAACAATAATAATAGTTATTATTATTATAATAAAAATAATAATAATAATAATAAGTGTAAACCAACGTAAAATCAATACATGCTGAGTTAAATTCTTGTTAAGATAATTTTTATACATTACAAAAAATACTAACTTTGTTTTCACCATTGTTTACTAAAATCTTATGTCTTAGGTTTATAATTATGCATTTTTGTTCAATTAGTGTTTAAGAATTAAAAATTATTAAATCGCTATCCTCTAAATAGGATTCTGGAACATACCAGCTAATGTGAAATTTCATTTTGAGGAGAAAAATAATTTGATCTGCTTTACCTCAGAATGTTTTTGTGAAAGTGAATCAAGAAGGCAACATCATTAATAGTGGAAATTTTATTGCTTGTTTTGAACAAAAATAATTACACATGTCCTCACAATCCAATGTCAATCATCATCAAAGAATAATTCATTGTCACCCAGACACTTGTATTATTTTTGTGGCCTTGTGCATGATATTGCAAAATACAAAGTTGCTTCCGAGTTTAAAAGCATTTCAAAATTCAATTATGCAACACAGAAACATAACACTGCAATTCACATGACTACAAAAAGTAGGAAAATAAGTTTAACTCAATTTTTTATGAAAATGATCGACTTAGGCTTCAATACTCAGCCTATTCTCCTATTTTATATATCTCCTCTTTTTAAGTGGTTCCGAACTATATTAATGAGTACTCGTTCTTCTTGATAATTAATGATAATTAGATGAAGTGTGGAGTTGTGAAGACTGTATTTCTTAAATGTAGTTTGTAAATTTTTATAATTTCAATTTTTTTAAAATTCTTTTTGTTGTTTTTTTTTAACATAATTATTACTTCAATTTATAACATTGCAAATGCATGCTTTAAGTAGCTCTCTCTTTGTGTAGGAACACACCAAGTAGTAGTCCTCACAATCTTTTGCATCCACCTGCTGCTCAGCAACCATCCAACACATTGCAGCCTATATTAAACCCTAGTATGGTTGGAATGATTGCCCAAGCCACAGTACCTCCAGGTATGTAAACACTGAAATTCTTCCTGCCTTTTTTGTAATTATATATTTTACAACTTTTGACTGGAAAGTTCGGTAATCAAAATACAGGAATATAATTGTGATATGAATTCATTTAAAAGTTTGTCCTCCACTCTTCTTCACTTCCTTTAGAAATGTTTTCATATTTGTATCACTAAAAGACTGGATGAAAAATTTTGGAAATAACAAGTATATTTATTCAAATGAGATTCTCGAAATTTTTAAATTGATTAAAGGGTTTATCTCATTGACTTGTGTGAAAATTACTACTCTCTGAAACTAGCTCTAAAGTAATTGTTCCTTGTTAATAATTATTGAGGAAGATTCGTGAATAGTAGTTTTATTCTAGTTCTCATCAGTGGTAGTTACATACTGTATATTTCTCATATTTGTAGGTCATGGCTCTGGCAGCATGATTTTCCAACCTGTAAGACTTGATTTTCCTGATATAGATAGACGTGAGTACATTTAAAATATTTTAAATGCAGCCACATCCCGAGTTATATAAGGGGAACCTTGGCAAGTCTGAATTTCTCTAATGTTCATGATGGACACACTGTGATTCGAGTTTGTTTGAAATGTGAAACAACATCCAACAACTTGGACAACTTTTGACAGTGGCAGATAATGAGATGACTACAAGCAGATGTACTGTGTCTGGAACATTGAATGGTGCATTTACATCATATTATTTTCAATCTGAGAAGAATTGTTAAATAGAATGTCCAAAATCAATAATAATGTAAATGTAACAAACATTGTGTACAGTTTTGCTAGTCATATTTTTCATTGAATTGACAAATTGTATAGAATTATTGTTTGAACTTGCCTCTATTGTTTCTTGAATTTGTGTAAATTGATGTGTAATTTGGGTGTGGCTGTAATTGCATTTGTAGGGTAGTTTTATTGATTGAAGCCTAATTCTTGGGAACTTGCTAGCATGTTATGTTGCAAGGCCAGTGATATTCTTATTTATTCAGTTTGTGACTGTGTAATGTTATATAAACACTATATAATAACGAATTCTTTTTAAAGTCTCTCTGGAAATATTAGTTGTTATGTATTGTTATTTTTCCCCTTAGTTTTAATTTTTTAAAGAGAACCCTAAATCTTGTGAAATGGGCTCCAAAAATATACATACAATTCAAAAATGTAATAATAACCCATTAACTGGATATGTGACACATCTGTGTTTTTATTACTAGGACCTCCAAGTCAAATACCAGTCCACACTACACTACCTGAGGCTGGAGGTAACAACCTTTTAGAGCTGGATTCAATCCTCTTTACAGAGAGCTTGGTGCAGAATCTAAGCCTCAGTAGTGAAGACCAACAGCTGGACACCCATGATTCTTTGTCTCGGTACCTGGGGAGTGCAGCCACTCATAGTGTGACTGATTTAAACAACATGTTAAATAACTAAACGGTGGTCAGATACAGAAGATTTTATGAGTATTTAACCCTTTTCGATCTCAGTAGTTGTGGTGGTGAATGCTGAGGATAAACTAACGTTTTGTTGTGTAGAGGAGAAAGGATGGAAGTGTATGGTGTCAGCATGTTCATCTAGATGGACAAGAGGTCACAACAGGCACATATAGGTTGATGTTCTGCAACCTAATCTGATCTATTTCTATAGTTCTTTGTTAATAATTCTTGTGTAAATCATTTCGTAAGTACTATTGAGTTACCCCTGATATCATTTTCCATATTATAATAAGCAAGCATGTCATAATGTTCTCTTTAACTTTTTCTTCTTCTTCTTCTTTTCTTCTTCTTCTTCTTTTCTTCTTCTTCTTCTTCTTCTACTACTTCTTCTTCTACTACTATTTCTTCTTCTACTACTACTTCTACTTCTTCTACTACTACTTCTACTTCTTCTACTACTACTTCTACTTCTTCTTCTACTACTTCTACTTCTTCTTCTACTACTTCTACTTCTTCTTCTACTACTACTACTACTTCTACTTCTACGTCTTCTCCTTCTCCTTCTCCTTCTCCTTCTCCTTCTCCTTCTCCTCCTCATTACTGTTTTGAGTTTCAGAAATAAAATTTTTAATATTTTAAGTACTTTATTTATTACATACATGGTTCAGTTTCACGTTAAGTTTGTATTTATCTACTAATATAATTTTTAATTATTTAACATACTTGAAATCATACAAATTGAATTCTTTAGTTATGGGAGAGTTAGAAACTAAAATGGAACCCTAGCTGATTTATCATGGCTAATTATTTGGTATGCATGCTTCATACAAGATCATTGGTGTTTTTTGTGACTTGTGAGAGAATGACTAAGGAATCTTCATTTAAATTTATTGAGCTGCTTTTCCTTGTGTGTGTTATCGTTTCAGACGAGGTAATGCATTATTAAGGGAAATATGATTTTCAGTGTCCCTGTAGGGCAATGTGTGAACCCAGTTTTTGAATTTTCAGTATCATGAAATTTCTATTCGAAAAATATGTAGAATAAATGATCGAAGCCTAAGTCCTTTTGTCTACATATTGTAATCTTAATTTGAAACAGTAATTATTATGGTGTGCACATTCTTGTTGTGCAGCTTTTAAACTATTAAATTAAAGTGCTTCAAATTGATGCTTTTGTATAATTATACTTATAAAATGTACATTTGGTACATTCCTGAGAAAATTTGTATCAGTTTTTTCTTGTTCTTTCATGGCTTCATAATGTAATTTATTTATTAATATAATTGATTGAACTTGCAATAGTGGCAACAAAAACATGATGTCTTACTGTGCTTAAAACAGGTGATGAGAAAAGCAGGATTTCTCTTCAGGAAGAGAATGTGCTCTGCTTGGTTTGGGTATAGATTTTATATAATCTTTTGTTTGTGTTGCTAACATGCTACTGAGCTTTGTTCTTGCAGTTTCTGCAAGAGCAATGGATTCTTTTTTCTTATCTTACATTAAATTTATATCGTGTCTGAGATATGAGGCAACTATTGACTATATCTCACGGGATATAGAGTTAATTGTTTCATGAGTGTAACGTGAATATCTACTGATTCTATTTATTAAGTATGATTTTATCATGTGAATGAAGTGCCTTCATACCAAATCGTAAAGAAAGTAGAGAATTTCAAAAACTACAATACTAGTTGATGTGAGAGATTGACTGTCGGACATACATAGGATTTGTGCCATTTTCCATAGTAGAATCCACAAGCAGGTCATAGTATTCTCTTTTACCTTCTTCTCATTAATTTGAGTTTCAGGAATAAAATTTTAAGTATTTCATTTATTTCTATCAAAATACTATTTCATGTTAAGAATATATTTATTGTGTACATCCACAGTTAGGTGTAAGAACTGTTGTGACCTATTGTCCACAAGAAACTTTCAGAAACTTTTGAGGATGCTTCACCATCCAAGTTACTGTTTTTTTACATCAGTTACTGTTATGTCTGATATTTTTGATCAGTTATTACTGTGACATCTGTAATTTCTAAACTTTCATTGTGAAGCATGTAAAGCCTAATTTGGTTCTCTCAATGTATATGTTTATGTGTGGGTGTGCAGGAGGAAGGTTAGTTGTTTTCAACCTTTGTTGTGTGCATATGTGTGTGGGAGTAGAGGTTAGAATAGCAATTTCAGGAAAATTCTTGAAAAATGTTAGTATTACTTATTTATTTTAAGAATGAATTGGTAACTTATCTAACACCTTAAATAACATTCTCCTATCTTATTATATGATTCTATGTGACTTCACCTTACTACTCATAGGAGAGACAGTGATGTTTGGTTTTAGTGATGCAAATTGACATCTGTTTTTATTGGTATGAGAAAAGGAAGTAACAGCAGCACAATCAAGGTTGGGGATGGAGGGATGCTACAGGTATAGTGTCCAGATGACATTTTAAAATATATTTTTATTTGTTGACTTATAGTAAATATTTATAATGTTACCAAGTGATACGTTGAATGACATTTGTTATTATAGAAAGTCAGTGAAACCTATATTTTTGAATATGTATCATGGCTTTGGTGAGGGAGGTGGTGGGGGTTGAAACCCCATTAGGCTCCTTTGGGTGCTCCACTGGGGAAGAGTTTTGATGGTTTCTTTTTGTAGTAAACCCTTTACTGTGATTTGAATGTTATGTATTACTCCAAGTACAATTGTAATATTACTTGAATAGAAATTCACTCAGCTTTTATGACGTATTATCAGGAAGTAAGGAATTTGTGCCAGAAGCAGTATTGCTTATATTTGTTTTTTAAAATAATGTTTTCTAAACTAATTTTTTAATAAATCTTAGTACTTCACGGAAAAAGTAGTTGAATTTCTGGTCGAAAGGATAATGTTCAATTATAAAAGCTGCTTTTTCAGTGATGTTAACTGTTTTTCAGAAGTTGTAAATGAGATTATGTGAATTCTGTGATCTATGGATATGCAGGCTTAAGAGGTTGAAAACTACTATCCTATAAATCTACATTTGTTTTATTTTGTGGGTTTATTTTGTTTGTTGGTTGGTTTATTGGTTGGAGGGTAAGGTGTTTTTCCTGTGAATGTCAAGCAAAGAAGTCAGTGTTTCACCAAGGAGAAAAATCTGTTGACTACTGAAATGTCAGTCTTCAGTGGACACAATGCAGAAAGGGTTACAAGGATAAATCATGCACGATGACCCACTCCAGAAACTGGTGCTACTGAAACTGTTGGGTGCTCCAAAAATTACTTGATAAAGTGTTTCAAATATTTTGATAAAAGAGAATATTGTAAATATATATTTTTTATTGTTCTAAAATGTTCTGAAATATGGCATCGGTGTATACATTCAAATATGTAGGAAAAAGTACAAGTGAACAAGCATACTCTGTCATGACGATAGACACTGAACAGTTTGTATGTTTGTGTGAAGTCCATTGTGTTAGTGTATTTCATTTATTTAAATGGAAATATGACTGATGTCCATTGTGCAATGTTTATTAGTACTGTTGATATGCACAAATTATAAATGTAAATGTTTGTGTGCAATATGTGAAACAAGTTCTCAAGAAGTTATCACGTATATATATATATACATAGTTTATTTATACGTATAGTTTTTTTCTTCTTTTTGTACATGAATTCAGTGTCTTTTGATATAAATATCGAGTTGAAACAAGATTTAATGTTCTGTATATGAAACCTGTGTGTACTGTAAAGGAATTTGGAAATGTTTTGTATTTTAGAGATTTATTGTAATGTTTTTTTATGGAAAAAAAAATTTTGATAGGAAATATATTTTGTACATTTTAAATTTCATAGCCCAAGTAAAAAACACCTTCATAGTAGTCCCACAATGATTGAATGCCAAATACAATTGTTTGCATAAACTGTAATGCCCAAAATCAAAATAAAATTTACAAAATATATTTGTGCATGTTAAGTTTTGATCCAAATGTGTGATTTGATTTATTCTTCATTGCCACACAAACTTGCAACAGAAAAACCCATTTTATTTAGATAAATACAGATATTGTCAGGTATCAATATTTTAATTCAATTTTATTTAGGAAGTGGAATTTCAATCTGAATGCTTGAAACTGGATTTTTCCTAAAGTTTATTAAATTTAATTGAGTATAAATGTATGGAATGTATTATTGTAAGTAGAGGCTTATTACATTTTACGAGACCACTCTCCGAAACTGCTACTCCGAGAGGAATAAACGGAGACCCTTACGCGGTAACCTAGTGGACGGGGACTGGCTGAGTACCTGGACTTGCGCTGCTTCTTGAAAATCAAGTTGAGAAAATTATTCCGACCTCTCGTTTCGTTTGACTATCAAGTGTTTTCCAAAACAAGCTAATAGCATTCCTCGATTCTGGCGTTTTTATTCTCGAAGAAACGATATTTCGGGGTGTTGATTCAACACAATTGGTACATTAATAAACCCACGACTTGAAAAAATTGAAATTTTACTTTCTCATTCTTGCATTGTATTTGTTGACGATTATAACAGAATTAGCGAGTTAAGC